CATCCTTGCCTTGTGTCCAATTTTAAGAGGAAAGCATTCAGTATTTTCCCATTAAGTATAATGTTAGCTGTAGGTTTTGGTAGAAGCTTTTCATCAAGTTCAGAAAATTCTCTATTCCTACTTTTCTGAGAGTTTTTATCATAAATGGGTGTTGAATTTTGTCAAATGTTTTCTTGTATCCATTGATATGATTGTGTGATTTTTTTCTTCTTGAGCCCATTAATATGGCAGAATCTACTGACTGTATTTTTTAAAATTTATTATATTGTGAGACAGACAGAGTGGCGGGGGGTGGGGACAGAAGATCTTACACAGGCTCTGTACTGAGAGCAGAGAGCTTGATGCAGGGCTCCAACTCATGAACCATTAGATCATGACCTGAGCTGAAGTCAGACACAAAATTGACTGAGCCACCCTAGGTGCCCCAGATTGATTTTTTTTAATATTTATTTTTGAGTGGGGGGGGGAGTAGAGAGAGAGGGAGAGAGAGAATTCCAAGCAGACTCTACACTGTCAGCCAGAGCCCAGTTCAGGGCTTGATCTCATGAACCAGACAAAGCCAAATCAAGAGTCGGACACTTAACTGACTAAGCCACCCAACAGCCCTGGATGGGCTTTATCAGTTCATAGAATCTATTCAATATTTAAGAATCTATCTATCATAGATAGACCAGTCTTGCATCCCTGGAATAAACGCCACTTGGTCATGGTGAATAATACTTTTTTATATATTGCGAGATTCTATTTGCTAATATTTTATTAAGGATTTTTGAGTCTGTATTCACGAAATTTTTAAGTCTGCAGTTTTCTTTTTTTATATTGCCTTTGTCTGCTTTTGTTATTAGGATAAAACTGGCTTTATAAAATGAATTGGAAAGTGTTCTTCTATTTTCTGGAAGAGATTATGTAGAACTGACCTTAATTTTTCTTTACTCATTTGGAGAATTCTCCAGTGAAACCATTTGAACCTGGATATTTCTCTTTTGTTAAGTTTTAAAATTATAAATTAAACTGCCTTATTAGTTATAAAGATATTCAAATTATATATTTTAGGGGTGCCCGGGTGGCTCAGTTGGTTAAGCGTCTGACTTTGGTTCAGGTCATGATCTCACGGTTCGTGGGTTCGAGCCCTGGATCAGGCTCTGTGCTGACAGCTCAAAGCCTGGCTCCTGCTTCAGATACTGTGTCTCCCTGTCACTCTGCCCTTCCCCCATTCACACACTGTCTCTTTCTCAAAAATAAACATTAACAAATTAAAAAATAATAATAAAGTGGGGCACCTGGGTGTCTCAGTCGGTTAAGCGTCTTGACTTCAGCTCAGGTCATGATCTCATGGTTCATGGGTTTGAGCCCCGCGTCAGGCTCTGTGCTGACAGCTCAGAGCCTGAAGCCTGTTTCAGATTCTGTATCTCCCTCTCTCTCTGACCCTCCCCTGCTCACGCTGTCTCTCTCCCTCTCTCAGAAATAAATAAAACACTAAAGAAAAAATTAAAAAAAAAAAAAGACTATGTATGCTGCTGTTATTGCATGGAATGTATTATTTTTATTTATTTTTAAATAAGCTCCATGCCCAAGACGGCACTTGAACTCACAACCTTGAGGTCAAGAATCACATGCTCCACTGACTGAGCCAGCAAAGTACCCCTGAATGGAATGTTTTTAAAATGTTGATTAGTTAGCTAACTTGACAATAAATTATATATATGAAGAAAAATAAAATGTTGATTAGATCCTTTGGGTTGACAATATTGTTGAGTTCTTCTACATTCTTGCTGATTTTCTGTGTAGTTGTTCTATCCATTGTTGCAAGAGAGGTGTTGATAGTAGATTTGTTGATATCTATTTCCAGGTCTATCAGCTTTTGCTTCACGTGTTTTGCAACACATTTTTTTTTTTTTTTTTGGTGCATAAACATTTCGGATTTCTTCAGATTGCTATGTCTTCTTGGAGGATTGACTTTTTTAGTATTATATAATATTCCCCTCTTGTAATTTTCTTTACTCCAAAGTCTACTTTAGGGGCATCTGGGTGGCTCAGTCAGTTGAGTGTCAGACTTCAGCTCAGGTCATGATCTCACTGCTCGTGGGTTCAAGCCCTGTATCAGGCTCTGTGCTGACAGCTTGGAGCCTGCTTCGGATTCTGTCTCTGTCTCTCTGCCCCTCCCCTGCTCACACTCTGTCTCTCTCTCTCTCTCTTAGATGTAACATAAAACATGTCTACTTTATCTAATATTAATATATCCTGATTTCCTTTGAGTCGTGTTTGCAAAACTTTTTCCATCATTTACTTGGACCCTGTACATATATCATATTTGAAGTATCTTGTAGACAGTATATACTAGGCCATGTCTTTAAATCCACTCTGAGAACCTCTCTTAATTGATATTCTTAGACCATTTACATTTAATGTAATTATTGATATGGTAAGAAATAAGTCTAATGTTTCACTTTTTGCTGTTTGTTCTGTTTTTCATTACTATTTTTGTTTTCCTGCCTTACTGGTTATTTAAACATTTTTTTAGAATTCCATTTTTACATATCTATATTGTTGTTTAGTGCACTTGTCTATTTTTAAGTGGTTATTCTAAGTATTACACCATACATACATGACTTATGACAGCCCACTCATGTCATCATTTTACCAATTTGAGTGAAGTACAGATACCTTTCCTGCATGTTCATTTACCCTTCCCATTTTATAATTTTCCCTTCCTCCCTCCTTTTTCCTTCCTCCCTCCCTCCCTCCCTCCCTCCCTCCCTTCCTCCCTCCCTCCCTCCCTCCCTCCCTCCTTCCTTCCTTCCTTCCTTCCTTCCTTCCTTCCTTCCTTCCTTCCTTCCGGCTTTATGCTCAGTGCAGAGCCCAGAATGGAGCTTAAACTCACAACCCTAGGATCAGGACCTGACCTGAGATGAAGGGTCAGACACTTAATGGGACACCTGGGTAGCTCAGTCAGTTAAGCATTCGGCTTTGGCTCAGGTCATGAGTTTGAGCCCTGCACTGGGTCTGTGCTGACAGCTTGGAGCCTGGAGCCTGCTTTGGATTCTGTGTCTCCCTCTCTCTCTGCCCCTCCCCCTCTCACACTATCTCTCTCTCAAAAATAAACATTAAAATAAATAAAATAAAAAGAGTCAGACACTTGACTGAGCTACCCAGACACCCCATATAATTTTCTTAAATATCTTCTCCACATATATTTAGAATCACAAAAGACTATATTTAAAAATTTTTTTAATGTTTATTTATTTTTGAGAAAGAGATGGAGTGTGAGTGGGGGAAGGGCAGAGAGAGAGGGAGACACAGAATCCAAAGGAGGCTCCAGGCTCTGAGCTGTCAGCACAGAGCCTGAGAAGGGGCTCAAACTCATGGGTGATGAGATCATAACCTGAGCTGAAGTCAGACACTTTTCAACTGAGCCACCCAGGTGCCCCAATATTTTTTAAGTTTTATTAAATCCAATTGATTTTTTAAGTGAGCTCCATGCTCAATATGGGGATTAAACTCACGACCCAGAAATCAAGAGTGGCATGCTCTACCAACTGAGCCAGCCAGGCACCGCACAAGACTATAGTTTTTACTCAAACTGTCAAGCATGATTTAGAAAACTTAAGCAAAGCCTATTGTGTTTACTCCCGTTTTATTTACTGTGTTCTTCCCTCTTCTTAATGGTTCCAGGTTCCTTGTTTTATTGTTTCCTTTCTGTTTAGAGAACTTCCTCTATCCATTTTTTTTTTAAGTAGGTCTGCAGTGACAAACTGTCTTAGTTTTCCTTCATCTTAGAATGTCTTGATTGTCCTTCACTGCTAAAGGATATTTTCATTGGGTATAGGATTCTAGATTGAAAGCTGTTATTTCCCCCCTGTAATGAAAGCTATATTGCTACTTCTTTCTAATCTCCACGGTTTCTGATGAAGAACTTGCTGTCAATCAAATAATTTTTCCTCAATAGGTAAGTTGTCATTTTCTCTGGCTGATTTTAAGATATTTTGTTTTTAGTTTTCAGAAGTTAAATTGTGGTATTTCTTGGCATGAATTTCTTCAGGTTTATCCTGTTTAGAGTTCACTCACTTTCTGGACTCAATGGGCTTATGTTTCTTGCCAAATAGAAGTATTCAGCCATTATTTCTTTTTCTTTTTCTTTTTTCTAGGAGAGAGAGAGAGAGAGACAGCATGAGCAGGGGAGGGTCAGAGAGAGAGGGAGACACAGACTCTGAAACAGGCTCCAGGCTCTGAGCTGGCAGCACTCAGAGCTGGGCTCGAACTCACAAACCGCAAGATCATGACCTAAGCGAAAGTCTGACGCTCAACCGACTAAGCCACCCAGGTGCTCCAACATTTATTTACTTTCGAGAGAGAGAGAGAACATGGGCAGGGGAGGGGCAGAGAGAGACAGAGACACAGAATCTGAAGCAGGCTCCAGGCTATGAGCTGTCAGCACAGAGCCTGATGTGGGGCTTGAACCCATGAACCACAAGATCATGACCTAAGCAGAAGTCAGACACTTAACTGACTGAGCCACACAGGTGCCCCTCTTTCTTTCTTATTTGTCTGCACACATTGTTATTTCTGGTTGCTAGCTTCTTCAGCTCCAAGTATGGGATCTAGAGGGTAAGAAGAAAACCCAGGGAACTCACTACCATGGCATTCCTCAAATCCTGAGGTCCCTAACTGGTCTGTCTTCTTCTATTTCTCCAACTCTTGGAGTCTTATTATTTAAACAAATATACATAGATATATGTATATCCAATGATAGATAGGTAGATAGATATATCTCCTGGGGGGCGCCTGGGTGCCTCAATCAGTTAAGCGTTTGACTCTTGATATTGGCTCAGGTCACGATTTACGGTTCTTGGGATTGAGCCCCACATTGGGCTCTGTACTGACAGTACAGAGCCTGCCTGGGATGCTCTCTCTGCCCCTCCCCGACTTGTTCATGCATGCTCTCTCACTCTCTCTCTAACAAAATAAATAAATAAACATTAATTTTTTTTTCATAGGGCAACATGGCTAAACGCACCAAGAAGGTTGGAATTGTCGGTAAATACTGGACACATTATGGTGCCTCCCTCAGGAAAATGGTGAAGACGACTGAAATGAGCCAGCACGCCAAATACTCTTGCTCCTTCTGTGGCACAACCAAGATGAAAAGACGAGCTGTGGGGACCTGGCATTGTGGTTCCTGCATGAAAACCGTAGCGGGTAGTGTCTGTACCTCCAACGCCACTTCTGCTGTCACAGTAAAGTCGGCCATCAGAGGACTGGAGGAGTTGAAAGACCAGTAGAATCTCCACCATTTGAAACACTGCTAGCCTATGATAAATGGGCTAATTTATATAACAAAAAAAAATTATTTTTCATAGAATAAAATAAATAAAAAATATATCCCGCTCAGGGATCTTAACTGTACTTAAGAGAGAAATCTAGGGAAAAGTATGTCTACTCCATCTTCCCAGAAAGGGAAAACCTGCCTAGCGCTTTTTAAAAGTGCACATCTGACCATTGAGACACTGGTTAAAATCCTTCAATGGCTTCCCGTCACTAAGGATCAGGACAAAAAGCCTTTGCACAGGTCTATTGAACAATCCTGCATGACCCAGCCCCTGCCAGTGGTACATGTTTAATAACCAAATTGGGGAGTAGGAAACCCTGAGATGCAGTGTTTGCCAATTTCCATGGTGTAAATACTACTATTATGGCCAATTTCAAGCTACTAACTTGAAATTGCTAAATACAGAATTGGGAAGATGTGAACAAGGGACACTTGTATATTATTACAGTCTCATTTTTATCACTCTCTTTGTCACTATGTCATCATCTGAATGTCACTGTTAGTCCCTTCCCCTAATTTAAACCCTCCAACAACTTCCCATAACATCTGCAAATAAAATCCCTACCTGTGATCTGGACTCTCTCTGCCTGTCTGACATCTCTTACCACACTCTCCTTGCTCAATAAACTTCAAATTTGTTCTCTCAACACATACTGAGCCCTACAATGTACCAGGCACTGTATTGTTACCAATAAACAAAACAACAAAAAAATCCCCTCTTGGTGAGGACACACACAAACAAATCTAATAAAGTTAGTAAATGTACCTTTTTTTTTAATGAAGAAAGCATATTAAATGAATGGGTAATAGAGCAGACAGTATCTTTTCGGCCCTTGCAAGGACTTCAGCTGAAATGTCACTCCTCATAGAGGCCTTTCCTAATCACCCAAGTTAATGTTGTCTCCTTTTCCCTTCAATTTCATGACCTTGTTCGGTCTACTTAATAGCACTTCCTGAGGGTTTTTAAAATGTATTTGTTTACTTGTGTATTATTTCCCTGCTAGAAATGTTTGACTCCTTCATCACCATGTCTCTCCTATTTATAAAAGGACTTTGTACATACTCAATGAATTTGTTTAATGAAGGATAAATATGCCCTCAATATCTTAATTTACTATAGGTTTATTGTATTCTGTAGGGGCCTTTGGGAACATTGTAAATTAGATGATAGCAATCTCAACATGGAATTATCACTCTAACAAAACTTGGGCTAAGAAAAACTTTGTAGGGTTCCTACGTTTTAAGGTCTCACACAATTTTTCTCCTTCCGACCCTGGTTAAAGCTATGGTGGTGTTTTCATGGATTTGTTGTTCCTGTTTATGACTAAGACAAGGAAACAAATCGCAGTTCTTCCGGTTTGGCAATGGAGTCAACACACTTCGGGACCCTCCAATTTTCTTTTAAGAGAAAATAGGAGATTTCAAAGAAGTCAATACAAGATTTAAGGGTGATCTAGCTGAGTCATACCTCCGCATGGTTAGAGATTGTAAAGGGGGGGCTGGGTCTACATAAAGTACAGGTGCTCTGGCTCGGAAGGAAGGTCCTTAAGAATAACTGGCCAAATGCCTCACACACACACACAAAACTCAAGACCTACTGCGACTGCAGTTGTGACTACAGAGCTAGGAGCCGAGAGAGGACCGTAAATAGGGAGAAAGGTCCCCATTGTTGGATGACCAACCGAGGAATAGGAGATGTGTGCTCAAGTGTGTGAAGCTGACACCGTGTACCTTAACCAAAGGCCATTCTGGCGCGGACTGGCATTTCGGGCGCGCTGGAGATGGCATCTCCCAGGCTCCTAAGCCTCTTCCGCCTTTTTCAGGTGTGCAGGTTAAGGCAGGGCTGGAGAACGCCTGCACAGTTGGGCCCTGGACAGGACACTCGGGGAGATCAGCATTTCCCGAATTGGAATCAGGAACCAAACGGTCCCTGGGGCCGCCTCTCCCAGGGAGGCTGCACGTCGGGCCTAGCTCGGAAGCGGGTCGGGACCTGCGAAACCGCGAGGTCCCGGGGTTTCGGCTGCAGGAGGCGAGGCGCCCACCTCGTCCCTTCCCCGGCGGAACGCTGCGGAAGACCCACGGGCACTGGAGCGGGGCGGCGGCGGGGGAGGCGGGGCGGGGCCGGGGCTGCAGGTCCCGGCCGAGGCGGAGGAAGCAGCCGCCGCCCCAGCCGAGGGAGTGTGGCCGGGGGCTTCCCGCGGGAAGACGACGAGAGGTAGTCTTTTGAGCGCTTCCACCCGGCTCGAGCACGTCGGCTCGACCCCGCCCGGCCCCGCCCCAGCCACCGCCTCTTCCCCAGCCGACGCAGGGGCCCGGGGGTGGAAGGGGAGGGAGGGACCTGCGCCAGCGCCTTTAAGAGGCGTGGCCACATGCTCCGCCCCTACCCGCCCCTGGCGCGCCAGTAAGGGGAGGGGTGCGGGAGGAGGCGCCAGGGCGAGAGTGGGGGGGGTGGGGGGAGCCAGGCGTGCGCTGGTGCGCAGGCGCAGTGGCCGGAAGACAGACCGTGTGTTTCCAAAATGGCGGCAGCGATGGATGTGGATACCCCGAGCGGCACCAACAGCGGCGCGGGCAAGAAGCGCTTTGAAGTGAAAAAGGTTGGGTCTCGCCAGCGCCTTCCTCAGGGAAGCTAGAGAGGCGCGGATCTGGCTGGCAGGCCCGAGGATGACCGAGGCGCGGAGGAAAGGGCTTCATTTCAGGGCGTTCCTGGGACCGGGTACCAGAAAAGGAAGCCGGGGGGCGGGTCTTAGAGTTGATCGGCGTGACTGCGGCCCACTGCCAGTGGCAGTATTGGTTTCGCCAGGAGTCTGAGGGACCAATCACGGATGTGCTTATTGAGATGCGCGTGGTTGCGACTTGGCTGAGGGAGCCAAGCGCCTGAGCTGTCACTGGAGTGGTGGAGGGGTGGGGAGGAGTGGGTGGGGTGGATGGAAGGGGGAGTCGGAGCGATGCGGTGGGTGGAGGATGGGGGCAGTGCGGCGAAAGCCGGGACCTGAGTTTCTACCGCATTGGAGGCTTCTGAGGAGCCCGGCTGGTGATCTCCTTGCCCCGCCTCTTCCCGAGGCTCGGGGTCCCTCTCTCTGACTCAGAGGGACCCCAAACCGGCCCTCGACTAAGGCCTCCCTTAGCCCTCTCTCTAGTCTTCTCCACCGCCGAGTTAAAAGTGTCGCCAGTGTAACAACTCTTGGTTCTTCTGAGAGGTCTGTTGGTTGGTCACACAGCCGCCCCCGTCCTGTGGTGATAATTCAGAATCCCTCTGTCCAAAAGGGAAAAAAAAAAAAAAGCATGGTGGAATTTGTTAAAAAGAAAACGCGAGCCCAAACCTTGTGTCATTTAGGAAGGGTTGAGTACTAGTGGCGAACGACGGGGTGAAAGTGGGAAAGCAAAAACGTGGAACGTGTCTTTTTGCACGAAATGCCTTACAGTGGGTTTGCCAACAGTTTGGGAGAAAAGTGCCGATTCCCACATAATATAAAATAAATCAGTTCAGATGAAGACTCTCAAATAGGGAAAATGTTATTCCTGGAACATCTGGCTGAACACTGACAACATTCCCCCTCCTAGTGCTTTTTGGTGTTTCATTGTGGGCACTGCATGCTCAGTTACAGCCAGCAGCCATATTGAAGAATAGAAATAGGGTTTTTTTCCTTCAAGTTGAAGGTGTCGGCTGAAAAGTGCTGAAGAAGTTTCACTAGAAACTGAGAATTGGGTTTCAGAAAGCTAACGGTTTTGGAAGTGGCACCAAATTAGCGGGCGAAAAGAGAGTTTGGGGATATTTATAATTGCAGAAGCCAAAAGGTTGAATTACTTAAATATCGCTTTTAGATAAACTCTTCATTGGAATTAACTAAATAGGAGTCTGAGCATGTAAGCGGTGAGAACATCAGTTTATTTGGTGGTAGGAACTAAAAATTTTAGTGAATTTGAGAGTTTGTTGTGAAATAATATTGTGAGATTTAAGTGATGACCTTGTTTTGTGTACTGACACTGGGTAATTAGTTATCCGGCTTATCCCACGATTACCCATTTTATGATCCAATCATCATCTTAGTTCATCCTGTTCCTAGCTTTCACCTCCCTCCTCATGCTTGCAAAGTTGCCTTGAAGAGCAGATATTGATCTTCAAGAAATTTCAAGAAAGCTCAAGAAATTGAGCTCTTCAGGAGAACCCGTACAGAAATTCAAGTTTGTGCTTATTAAACCTAAAACAGGCACTTAAAAATTGTTCCTGATTTCTTACATTGATATTGGTTAAATTATTTTAAGCTGTAGGAAGAAAATAAAGATGATTCATTAATTTCTGTGTTCATATACTCAACCCTTTGGAGAACGCGTGAGCATACGTGTAGCCTGCCGTTGTCCTCTGATGAAATAAGTAAGAGTAAGGTAATATCCCCCAAACTCTTGTGTTTGGTGGTCCTTGTGGCCACAGAGATGATAACTGCAGCTGCAGCATGAAATCCTAGAGCGTGTGTGCCTGTGTTACGAGGAGAGTGCATTGTTCCCCCTTTTTCTCTTTGCAGTGGAATGCAGTAGCCCTCTGGGCCTGGGATATTGTGGTTGATAACTGTGCCATCTGCAGGAACCACATTATGGATCTTTGTAAGTAATCGGAGGAGGATGGGAGATTTCGAGAAGGTTACAGGGATTGTGGCTATCCTGATGTGACCAATTGTCTTCTTCACAAGGAGATATAAAGCATAGTCAGAACATTGGTGTCTTCTGCATCTCGTCCATTGGTATGTTTGAAATAGAGTAGATTTAACGATATCCTGGAGGCAGACTCATCTCTCAGAATAAATCTACTCAATCTAAAGATGGCAAGCACACATTTAGAATGAATTGTGGACACAGAGGCACTGTTGATTATTCCTCTTATATTTTCCATCTCATACCCAGACTCAAAGGCAAAAATAGTGAAAGGAAGAAAATAAACTTTGAGCTAAAATATTCTACCAAAGCTAGTTTTTGCTTGGCAAGATTTATAAAGAAAAAAAGGCCAGAGAAATAAGGAATTCAATGTTAGCCCCAAAGTTAAGAGAACATTGCTGCCAACATCTAAATAGACAACTAATTGCACTAAAGAAATTGTTTTTAACTCTCCCACAGATTCCGTCACATATAGTGGCCGGTACATGGTGGATTTGATTATAGCTGTTGATGGACTGACTTAGTATCCTTATAGTAATAGGAGTGAGAAAGTTGATCATGTCAGGAACAACTGAGGTTTCTTTTTCATCCAGGTACTAAAATGGGTAATGTGAGATCAGGTACAAGCGAAGAAATTTCAACTTTCTGGAGTTCAAATTACAGGCACTTATTTTGAAAATGACTCACCTGCCTCTCCAGCTTCATCTTGTATCACTCTCCTGCTCACTCTGGTAGTTTCTTTGGCTTTCTTTCCATTCTTGAAGTGACTGTGCTCGTTTTTAGAGCCCTTACATACCTGTTCCCTCGCCTGAAATATTCTCCCTCTTCTCCCCACTACCTTTGTCTAACCCATTAGTCTCCAATCTAAATATGAGCGACAGATGCCAAGTACATACGTAACTTAGGGGCTCCTGGGTGGCTCAGTCGGTTAGACGTCCGACTTGGGCTCAGGTCATGATCTCACAGTTTGAGCCTCACGTCAGGCTCTGTGCTGACAGCTCAGAGCCTGGACCCCGCTTCAGATTCTGTGTCTCCCTCTCTCTCTGACTCTCTCCTGCTCACTTTCTGTCTCTCCCTCTCTCAAAAATAAATAAACATTTATTTTTTAAAAAAGTATGTAAGTAACCTAAAATTTTCTGGTACCCACATTAAAATATAAAGAAACAGATGATTTGTATTTTATTTATCCTACTATATCCAGAATTTTTCATTTCAATATGTGAGTAATATTTTAAAGTGAAATATTTTACTTTTTTTTTTTTGGTACTTAGTCTTTGAACTGTATTTTTACATTTAGAGCATATCTCATTTCAGACTAGCCACATTTCAAGTGCTCAATAGCCACATGTGGCTAGCAGTTACCTTATTGGGCAGTGCAGAACTAATCCATAGTTGGTCTTTAGATCTGACCTTAAACTTGCTCAGAGATATTTTCCCTAACCATACTTACATACACACAGGCTACAGCAGTTCTGTTAAATATTCCAAGACCTCCTATAGTTTCCTTTATAGTAGCTATTTAATTTAGTTGGTTCTTTATCATATTTGTTATTTACTGCTATATTCCCAGCATCTACCATAGTATCCAGTACATAATAGGTTCTCATTAAATACTTGCTCAATGAATAGTAAAAATACAAAGTAGGGGAATAGTGTGTGATCATTGCAACTTGGAAAGCACCAATCAAGTAACATGTTTTGGTAGTTTATTGCCCTTGGTTTCTTTTGAGTTTTGACCCTGTTTACGTTCTCACACAACAGCAGATAGCAGCTACCACGATGTTTAATATAGATAGAAGGAACCCATCATGGAAAAACACATGCACAGTTTTAAATGTGTTTGGGTGGGGTCTTTGATTATATGTTTGCCAATTTTGTTGCTATGCATTTTCATAAGGAGTTGTACCCAAAGCAGATTTTATTTTCTTCAGGCTCTTCTATAAATAGTTAATGATTTCAAATAATACTGTTTTGGGTTTTTCCCCCCCCAATATTTAAGTCATTTTCTGTCTCTCTGGATACGAGAGAATGTACTTGTGGGAGGACCACTACAGAGAAAGGCCACTGATATTCTGTCTCAGAGTGGAACATATAGGGGATCAGTGTAGGTCTTCAGTCAGATACCTACTGGCTTTATCATATATTTTAAATGTTAGATGAAGTAGTAGAATATTAAACTTTTTTTTTTTTTTTTTTTTAAATAAGCTCAATATCTAACGTGGGTCTTGAACTCATGACCCTGAGATTAAGGGCCGCACGTACTGAGCCAGCCAGGCGCCCCAGAATATTTAACTCTTGTAACAAACAATTATGAAAGTGTGTTCAAGTCATGTCTTTTTTAAATTGAGAAGTTTATTTTTTTAATTGTTTTTACATTTTTTATTTTCTTTCCAGTTAGTTAATATACAGTGTTTTCTATTAGTTCCAGGTGACAGTATAGTAATTCAGCAGTTCTATACCTCACCCTGTGCTCATCATGACAAGTGCACTCCTCAGTCCTCTTCACCTGTTTAACTCCTTTCCCTCCTCTCCTCCCCTCTAGTAACCATCGTGTTATTCTCTACACTGAAAAGCCTGTTTTCAAGTCATATCTTTTATTCATTCAGTGGGTACTCATATCCTGGGCATTTTGCTAAGATAAAACAGTGACTGAGAACAAGCCTTTACCCTTAAGAAACATACCCTTTTGTTTATTATAAACACTAAAGAATAATCTGGTTGCTACAACTGGGTTTGTCTCCTTTAAAAAATAAATGGACTATGAACCTTGTAAAAAGACTTTTTGTTAAAGCTGAAAATAAGAATCTTGATTTAGCAATGGGCATTTTCTAATAAATTCTGGTCTGGCATTTAATGAATAATTATATATACAGTTGTAAGTAAATAAGAGTTATTATGGCTGTGCCCAGTTGGACTCTTCTAAAAACCATTCTTGGTCCAAAGACTTTCTCTTCTGAGTCAAAATTGATACTGCATGCCCTCTTACAGCTTAGTATTTACTTTACATTGCTCCATTTCTTGCTTGTTCTAAAAATATGCAGTCTGTTAGGTGTTATTTTCTCTATTACCTCAGGTAATCTTGTTCCAGATGAAGAGGACATCCAGAAGGGCTTAGATGCAGCCTTTGCCCATGAGAAGTTAGCCTCTTCCTAAACCACATGTCCATCCCTGTTTTGAAAGTGTAAAATTTGTCCACCAAGATGAAGCCTTTGCTTCCCTAGCAGTCCTTTGGTGGTAATGCTCTTGTATTGAAATTTAAAAGTCCCTCAGCTTTATGTATCACATGCATTAAGCTTCTGCCTTTGCCGGGGTATGACAGGTATGCCTGTTTGTCTGTGCTAGGTTGACAGTGAAAGTTCCTTTCCCTGTTTAAATGAATTACTCAACTCCTCTACTCACCCTGCAGCAATAGCTCCAGAACATTTCCTATTTGAGAACATTTTACGCTCCTATTTAAGAATTTTTCCATGCCATATCCCTTCTTATTTGGCATTCTAGATTGCACTCCTATCCCTCCTATATATTTTTGTTCTTTGTTAGGAATTATCAGGTGGTAAAGAATCCATATATATATATTTACCCCTCATTCTCTCTGTAGAAATGGGTTCTGTTTGCTTATTCAAGTACCAAGAGCCTACTTTGGACTTGGCATAGAAAGACAGAGTCCCTTAAAAATACCTTGACCTGGAAAAATTTAAACATGATAATGTACTTTGAAACAGTTATTATTTATTTAAGTAATGATTATGCCTCTTATTTAGCTAATTTCATAATACTTGGTCCTTATGTAAGTGAGAAGATCCAACTTGAAGGACATCAGATTTTTTTTTCTTTCCTTTTCAATATAGTGGTGTAGTCACGGCGCCAGTAAATCTTGAATATACTGCATAGATCCTAGATTCTCCAGTCCTATCAGAGGGAAAACCCAGTTACTCTCTTTGTAGAGTGAATATGGGTAGCAGAAGGAAGTTCTGTGACTTTAGACCCTTTGCCTTTCATATTTTTGAAGGGAGGAAAAAAACCCATTTGGTATATCTCTTCCCCTAGGACCAAATAATACCCATTCAAATATCAGCATTATTTGCTTACAGTTTTACTATTTTCCACCTATGGAAGTTTGAAGTAATTGTCTCCTATCAAATAGTCTTTCCTGAAGCTTTTTCTCTTCAAATGGGAGACTCCCATTTAGTTACCACCTTCAGAGAAAGCAAATGATACATTAGTAATTCTTATTCCTTGAATATTTATCTCTGGTAGAGCTTTACTCATCGTTTCTTGATCTCAGATTTGTATTCTATTTCAATTCTCTTCCTCCTCTATGAAATTGGTACTTGGGTATATTTGCTGTAATTTGCTCTACGCACCAGACACAATCACCTCTGGGGTAGTAAGCATCACCAAGTCACGTGCCCCGAATCTCTAACCCTCTGGTCTTACACATTTGCTTTGACAGTATTTAAAGACCTTTGAGTTTCGCTCCTTTCACACAGTTTGCAACAGGCCTCTTTGCTCTCTTTTATTTGCTTCTGTCCCAGTTCACACGTGTCTGCCTGACTTCTCTAGGGCCTAGAGCTTGTTGCCCAGCTAGGCCTTCTTCTAAGGGTCTAAGAGGCACCATTTGCCAAGAGTAGTGAGAAGACGCCAGTTCTCCGAACAGTAAGAATTACAAGGTAGCTTTAAGAATTTACTAAATTTACCAAATTAGGAGAAATCCCTTTCATTTGAACAGGTCAGGTTATGTTCAGAACAAAAATGTGCCTTTTCTTTCGTAACTCAGTCTGAACAAGGATAGGAAATCATTGCAAAGCAAACTGTTAAGTCACATCTCTGCCTTTGGTGCTTTGCCTCCCCCTTTTTTTTACACTCATTAAAAAACAATTATGACTAATTAACCACTTGAGATTTTGTTCAGGTTTGTACCACCCTCAACCCCACCCCCGCCCAAATCATGTCCTTGTGTGATTGTGCAGGTAGGGCTGCTGTAGACTGAAAGGTTGTTACTCCTGAGGTCCAGTGATCCTGTTGCTCTTGTTCCCACAGGCATAGAATGTCAAGCAAACCAGGCGTCTGCTACTTCGGAAGAATGCACTGTTGCGTGGGGAGTCTGTAACGTAAGGCAACATCTTTCCCTATCAGCATGGCATGTAAACATATTACTACTTATCCTGCTTTGCCAGTCTTGAAAAATAACTAGGAAAAAAAATTGACTAGCCCACCTTTCTCCCAAAAGGTATACAACTAGTAAAAAAAATATTTTAAATCCTTGTCCTATTCACCTGTTAATAGGTTAAAATTACTACTTATTACAGGGGCACCGTATTGTCTTAATTATAAAGTGGACTCACTTTTGTTAGCAATCCTTTGGGGATTCATCTTTGGGAATTGCCTTCAAAGCCTGTGGCAGTCTTTGGAATTATCTCCTATTGGTGGGAATCTTTACCTTCTGAACAGATTTTTTTTTAAAGGGCTAGATGCCTTGTGGAACTAAGTTTGGGGAATAAACTGAGTATTCAAGGGCCTGTGTGTGGTACATGTACTAAGTTAGGATTTCTTTTTAACATGGCTCATGCCAGAAATGTTTTGTCCAGCATCATTGGACAGAATGTACAGCCTTCCATGGTGTGACAGCAGTGAAGGATAATGGCATCAAATATGTTATTTCTAGCATGTGTTAAAAATTCATCTGAATAGCCATATAGTCCTAGTCACATGAGCTAAAATTGTCCTGTCCAAGTCTCCTGTGCCAAGGAGACAGAGGACCCTCAGCTCCCAGCATGGCACAGGCCTAAGAGGCTCTGGAGTCAGACTACCATTTCCTGTCTCGGACTTACTTGCTCAGTGACCTCAAGCAAGGTATTTGACATCCCTAAGGCTGGTCTCCCTCATGCAGACTGCACAGAGTCATGATCAGGATGAAATGGTTTTCTTTTGCCACATAGTATTTGTTGAATACACACATATAAATACAAACTTGGGGTGCTGGTGGTTACTGAGCAGATGGCAGCTGTCAGTACTTTTCCCCATCCCCCTGAGGACCCCCTCGACCCCAGCCCCGTGCCTTGAGGTGCACCTTCTGAATTCTGCCAGGGCCCTTTGAGGAGTTTCTCAGTAGCCTGTATTGGCCAGGGACGCCTTCATTGCTTGTGGGGATAAAGAAATAAAATATATCTGGTTCTTTGCTCTCCCTGACATTCAGGCATGTACTAAAAGCCATGTGATTTTTTTGGTGGAAGGAAAAGGGAATGGATTGGCCTTAAATTTGGCTACAGAGAGACTAGCTCAGGGAGCCCGTAACAAGGAAGAGCCAGCATGGTGTGGCAGAAACCTTCTAGTCCTGGGTCTTCTCACAGGCTCCATTAATTGGGCAAGTCCTGTGATTTGTCTGGATTTTGGTTCCCTGTCTGCAAAATGAAGGTAATAATACCTGTCCTGATTCCTTGCCACGGTTGCTGTGAGGCTCTGTCAAGTGATACAAGTTAGCATCTTCCGTAAACTGTAAAGCACTGGTCAGCGGACTTTGACACTGCTAAATATACCCACGGGCACACCTTAGGTCATGACCAGGGAGAAAGTTGGGACCAAGTGGTCCAGCGATGCTGTCCCCTGCCCTGCAGCCCCTTTCCCTCCATCCTGTGAGGCAGCTGTGGTGTACAAGGACCCGGTGCTGTGCAAGGTGCCTAATGAGGGAGGGGGAGGGGGAGAGAGGGGTCTTGAATACCTTTAGGTGTCCCTGCCACCTGGTATTCGAGAAAAATGCCTCAGCCTTTTGCTTTTTAGAAATTTTGTTTTTTCTCTTTTTCACAATGAGTTTTGTGAGAGTCCGGGAGTTGTGTGAAAGGGATCATGTGAAAGCTCTCTCTCTGGGAGAATATTTGTCCTGTTGAGTATCCATAGCATACTAGCTGCGAGTTCCACTCTTAGTTACTCTATTCTGTTCTTGTCTTTATCAGAAGACAACGCACTTGCTAATAATCCACTGAGTGACTCTTCTTGAAGTTCCAAGCATGTTTTGGTAGCCTTGCTGACCAGACTTCAAGGCTGCTGTTAAATCAAGTTTGCGAAAGCTTTCATTATTTTGTTGGGGTTCCCGTATTATTCCCCTGTCCCCCACCTGAGCCAGCCCCTCACAGATGAGAGGGAACAGCACCTGCCGCTGCTCTTACTACTCTGTTCTCGGGAACAGAGGGAGGAGAGCAAAGGTCCACTGCGGGCGGTGGTGTGGTTAGCATCGCATGTCATTAACTCACGCCGGAAAAACTGCGTGCAGCTTTTCTTTCGCCTGAGCCTGAAAGCCGCCTCCTACCTCCTTGTGAGTTACCAGCTTTCTTAGTATTCTTGCCATTTTACTTCTTGCCTTGATCACGAAATAAGCCGTTTGATGCTCCTTCAACTGATTTATGCAGTTTGTCTGTTACCATGCTTCCTTTTACCCTAATTTTCTATCTCATTCCTTTTTAAGAGAACATGCCTCACCCCTTAAAGGCTTCCTGAGTACTGAGCTGTTGTAATATCAGTACGTCTTTGAACAAATCTGGAAATAAGGTCCTTTGAACAGAGTTGAGCTGGCTCTGGGAAGATTGAGGAAGTGCCTGTCTCAGCTCTGGGTGGGTGGCAGTGGCAGCGTGCTACCCCAGGCTGAGGACCAGTCGCTGCCCCTGTGGTTCCCATTCTCCAAGATGGGGGAGGGGCAGTTGGGGACCAGGAATGGGGAAGTTTGAAACCTGCCTGTGTTCAAGGGCTCCTGGCATGTGTCCGAGGAAAGTACAGGGAAGTAGAAGCCTCCCCTTATAGGCCAAATAAGACCAGGAAGCCACATTCCACCTTCCCTTGAGGGAACGGGAGAGAGCATACCGCTAGACCATATACTGTGCCAAGTAATTTCTCCTTTTAGCGGTTCCGGCATGCGTAACAGCTGTTTCAGTGGACGTGTCCTGTACCTGACCACAGTGTAGGCTGTTGTTGACCTTTTGCCTCCCCTTGTTGCCTCCCGTTGCTCTCCAGCCCCGTGGGTCCCCACTGCACTGCCCCTGAGACGGATTATCAGTAGATGGCCAAGCCCACACAGAATGATTTTTAATAAAATGTGTCTTTTCTTCCAGCATGCCTTTCACTTCCACTGCATCTCTCGCTGGCTCAAAACACGGCAGGTGTGTCCGTTGGACAACAGAGAGTGGGAATTCCAAAAGTAGGTGTCTCCACCTGTTTTGACATTGTAAGACTGGGCTTTGGGGTCCGTGCCTTCTTTGACTCACCCCAGGCTGGAGGACATAGTCTCAGAAGATGGACACATGGAATACACTTTGTTTTACAGACTAACTTTTGGTTAAACAAGGATTCACCTGTGAGGAAAATGCTCAGAGGTGTGGCATGCTAGAGTGTCCCAACTCCCAGGGTCTGTGAAGGTAGAAGATAGGAAAATCTGCAAACTATTAAATATTTCCAGAATCACATCCATAATAAGGATCCAGGGGCTAACCAATGTCAGGTATCTTTGCTTTGGGCTAGAGTTACATCCACCTATCCTGTTTCATTGGTTTATCTCATGCTTATCTTGACTAAATTATTACGTAAATGAAACATGACATGGTAAATTTTTAAAAATTCAAATAGTTAAGAGGGCATACCAGAAGAAATTAGTTTCCCATCTTAGACTCCTAATCGCACTCTCAGAGGTGACCATCAGCCTCTTAGTGCTTCTGACTATCCATACACATGCTTGCATGTACGGGGGTAGATATACATGCATAATTTTAATGTAAATATGAGCATCCTACACAGTAATTCTCCTTGCTTTTTCACTTCATACCGTTTAGAGTTTTTCCATATCCACATGTATTCTTTCTGATGGTTGCAGAGTATTGTTTTATGTTGATGTACTGTAATTAATATTTAATCAGTCCCTGTTGATAGACATTTGGGTTTCAAATTTTTTACTGTTGGTATGTAAGGATGGACATTTTTATACATGAATCTTTGTGAATATGTGCATGTATATTTGTAGCAGTAGTTCCTAAAAGAGGACTTTCTGGGGAAAGAACATGTACATTTATTTTCTATTTTTTTATGTAAAAAGCATTTTTTAATGTTTATTTAGTTTTGAGAGAGAGAGACAGCAAACTGGGATGGGGGTGCAGAGAAAGGGGGACAGAGGATCCGAAGCGGGCTCTGCGCTAATAGCACAGAGTCAGAGTCCAGTGCGGGGCTCGAACTCCCACGCCATGAGATCATGACCTGAGTCAAAGTTGATGTTTAACCAAGTAAGCCACCCAAGTGGCCCCTATTTATTATTTTTGACATTGTCAGATTTTCCTTTCCAAGAATGTATACTAATTGACACTCCCTGTGAACAATGCAGCAGAATGTCCCTTTCTCCATTTCCTGCCAACGCTCTATTATTGCACTTTTCCATCTTCACTGGTCTGATAGTTGAAAACTAGTATTCAGTGGCCTTTTCTGAATTTTGAGTGAGATTGGGTGGTATGTTTTTATGCCTCTTTTTCTGTGAAATGCCCTTTTTGGTTGCTCTTGAGTTAGTGATCATTTTCTTTATCAAATTTTTTATGAGAAAGGGGATTTTTATTTAAACAGGAGTTTTGATTAATAGGGTATGTTGAGATTTATAAAACAAAAAATGAGGTTCTTTAGTTTGTTAAATGTTTAGAAATCCTTTATTGGCACAGATATTTTGCTTTTAGACTTAGTTATTTATTTTGGTAAAGAATTTTGGAACTCTTATCCAACGCATATGTTCATTTTCTAAGAAACCTGCCAAATACTCAGTGTTTAATGACTCCTACCATTATGCTTCATTCAGCAACATGTATGCTACATAATGTGTAAGATATAAAAACATATGAGACAGTCCTTCCCTGTCCTCAGGGAGCTTGCCTTCCGAGTAAAACTGTGCAGTCATATTTATCAAGGAACTTTTCTACATTCTGAAGAGGCCTTCGTAACTGGTCCTGCCCTGGAGCAGGCTCCGAGTTCCATTTTGGACCACACCTGTCCCATGTCACCCATGAAATATTCCCAGGACTGAGCCTAGAAAGAGGAGCTGTGTGTGACAAATTCCTCATGTTGGTCTCTGACAACACCACTTTATCTAGCGGTTAACAGTACACTGGGAAAACAAACTCCTAAAGAACAAGCTATGGCATTCTTTAGTCTGATGGACGGCTTCTAGGTTGCTCTCTAGTCCACTAACAAACACTGAAACTCTACCTTGTGTGGAATTTGGCACAACTTTTTTCTAGAGAATATTCAAGTGGATTTCTTATCAGAAATGCACGAAGGGTCCAGTAGTCCTTTGGGCTGATCAAAGCCATGACCAGAGTTCCAGTGCCCTGGGTTCACCCATGTATCGAAGTATTTTATATTTTTATTAAAAAAACTTTTTTTTAATGTTTATATTTGAGAGAGAGACACAGAGTGTGAGCAGGGGAGGGGCAGAGAGAGGAGACACAGAATCCAAAGCAGGCTCCAGGCTCCAAGCTGTCAGCACAGAGCCGACGTGGGGCTTGGACCCACAAACTGTGAGATCATGACCTGAACTGAAGTCGGCCACCTAGCCGACTGAGCCACCCAGATGCCCCTCGAAGTATTTTAATCAGAGACTAACTATCCAAAAAGAACCAGGACAGGGGCACCTGGGTGGCTCAGCCAATTAAGTGTCCGACTTCAGCTCTGGTCATGATCTCACAGTTTGTGGGTTCAAGCCCCACGTCGGGCTCTGTGCTGACAGCTCAGAGCCTGGAGCTGCTTTGGATTCTGTGTCTCCTTCTCTCTCTGTCCCTCCCCTGCTCACACTCTGTGTCTCTCTCTCAAAAATAAATAAAAACATTAATAATAAAAAGACCAGGACAAAAGATTGAGTAAGACAATAAAGAAGAATTTTTGTTCAAGAAATCTGTTTATATGTAGAAGAAATTTCCCAGCCATGTTTATTTTTATAATGTTGTTAGAGCCAAATTTTGGCTCTTGGGGAAATGAGAAACCACCTGAAATCCATACCCCTCTATAGTCCTCTTTCTGAATGTAATTAGGATGGAAATTGGGCCTGGTGATAGATTTTGAAATTGAAGGCTGTTCAATGACTATTCTCTGTATTTGCCTGAGTTAGCAGAGTTGAAGTGAAAATAGGCTGCAAGTGGGAAGGGAAGCCAAGTGCTGGTGAGGGAGGCGGGGGGGCGTCTGAGCCACTGACCGGAGCCAACAGGACAGTTCCCTTTCACAGCCGCCGGCTCTGACTTTTCCCTCTTGCCTCCCTAGTACTGCCCAGCATCTCTCTGGTGCCTGGGAGAGTCAGGTGGGTGTAGCTGAGTCCCGTGGAGGGACTGTCACTAAGAAGAGGGTAGTAGGCAGGGGCGCCTGGGGGCCTCAGTTGGGTAAGCATCCATCTTTGGCTCAGGTCATGATCTCCTGGTTCGTGGGTTCAAGCCCTGCATCGGGCTCTGTGCTGACAGCTCAGAGCCTGGAGCCTGCTTTGAATTCTGTCTCCCTGTCTGTCTGCCCCTCCTCCACATGTGCTCTGTCTCTCTCATTCTCAAAAATAAATAATAAACATTAAAAAAAGGTTTTTTAAAGAAGGGAGTAGTAGGTAAAATGTCACAAAGGATGAAATGAAAGGGGCAGAGATGGTTTTCATCACATTTGCTCCTATGTTTTTAGCAGGTTTTATAGCCTCAAAACAGGAAATTACTAAGGAATTAATAAAATAATATACTTTTGTCTTTCAGGTATGGGCACTAGAAAGAATTCTTCCATCGAGCTCAGCTGTTCTGTTCTCCATTTAATGACTTGCCCCCCTGTTACTTAAGTATAAATTAGATAGAACTGTGTCTTTTCTGCTTTGTCTTCAGTTTGCTATTCCTGCAGCCGTATTGTATTTGGTGTCAAATAAAATCCAGTTGGATTCTAGATCAGATGCTGTCTCTTGTGTATGTGAAAAAAGTGAACCATAAAGATTGGAAAGCCAGCTTTTGAAAGTGAGATGTTTGTTCATTAGAGCAGAGTCGTCCTGTGAGTCTGTCGCTTGGTCACCAGGCATCCCGGTCCACAGCCTGCTCACTGATGGCAGCCTTGGACACGTCATCTCTCTCTTCCACCCTTTCCCTGTAGAATGGCTCCTAAGGACTAAATGGCGTCGTAGGCGCACAAAGAAGCTGTGTAAACTGTAAAACCACGATACAAATGTTAACTTTGACCGTGTATGACATGCTGCTTTCTCTTCTTAGTTTAGAAAAATAAATCTGAAAAAATCTAATATGTAATTTTGGCTGGCGAAAGAATAATTTATAGGCTCAAGTTGAAACTTGGTGTCACTTAGAATGGAACTGAAAAAGAGAATTCAAGTTGCCTCTATCACCACCATCTTTTGTAATTTGTTCACACTGTCTTAGCCATGGGGGTCCCTAACAGGCTGTCAGTAGAGCATGCAACTCCATCTTGGGGTCATGAGTTCAAGCCTCATGTTGGGCAGAGATTACTTAAAAAAAAAAAAAAAAAAAAAAAAAAAAAAAAAAAAAAAAAAAAAGGCTGGCCATGGAAGGAATTGCCAGTTCTAAAACGAATTCAGTGATGATAATGTAGTCTTTAGCTGAGAAAGTCAAGTTTACTGTAGTGGTTCTCAAACTAGAGTCTGAGGACTCCTGGGGTCCCCTGGACTCCTTGAGGAGATTCTTGAAGTTTCTTTTCCACTACACGTCTGTAAGAGGCCAGCTTTTCCTTACCTACTTCAACCAAAGCAACGCACTGAATGAAGAAGCAGGCATGAGAATCCAGCCGTCTTCTATTAGATGTAAAGAGATATGCAAAAATGTGAAACTGTGCCACTCTTTAATTTTTTTGTTTTAAAAAATAGTGGCTTTTAATAAAAATATTTATGTTAATATGATGGTTTTTGTTCTTTTAATCCTTTTAATTTCTCAGTTTACATTCCATTACAGTAAATGTAGATGTTTACTCAATAAAACAAAAATTCTTTGAGGTCTTCAATTTTTAAGATCATTGAGGGATCCCTAGAGTAAACAGTCTAAGAACATCTAGGGGCGCCTGGGTGGCTCAGTTGGTTGAGCATCCAATTTTGGCTAAGGTCAATATCTCGTGGTATGTGGGTTTGAGCCCCACATTGAGCTCTGTGCTGACAGCTCAGAACCCAACGCCTGCTTCAGATTCTGTGTCTCCCTCTCTCTTTGCCCCTCCCCAGCTCACTCTCAAAGATGAATAAACATTTTTTGAAAACTTTTTTTAAGTTTATTTTTGAGAGAGACAGAGTGTGAGCAGGGGAGGGACAGAGAGAGAGGGAGACACAGAATCCAAAACAGGCTCCAGACTCTGAGCTGTCAGTACAGAGCCCGACGCGGGGCTTGAACCCATAAACTGCGAGATCATGACCTGAGCCAAAGTCGGCCACTTAACCAACTGAGCCACCGAGGCGCCCCCCAAAAAAAAATTTTTTTAAGAACATCTAGCTTAGTTATTAAGAACTTTGAAGTCTTAATGAACCTGGATCAAATCCACCTTCCTCAGCTCACAGCGCCAGGCACAAAGCAAGCACTCACAAGGATGTAGGTGCTACTGTTGCTGTTAACTTAGGGCTACCTCCCTTGGCAGAAACTCTCTCTTCTTCTTTTTCTTTTTATTATTAAATTTATTTCTAGGAGAGAGAGAGAGACAGCGTGAGCAGGGGAGGGTCAGAGAGAGAGGGAGTCACAGACTGAAACAGCCTCCAGGCTCCGAGCTGGCAGCACAGAGCCCGATGCGGGGCTCGAACCCATGAACCGCGATATCATGACCTAAGCGAAAGTCGGACGCTCAACCGACTAAGCCACCCAGGCGCCCCAGAAACTCCCTCTTCTAAACCCCTTTCAGGTGGTCATTCAAACTGTGTGAATACTTCAGTTGCGAACACATTGCTTTTCACACGGATGACATTACATATCTGGGGAGATCTGCTTGAGGATCAGTAGTCTGGGCTTCAGAGTACAGAAATCCAGCTTCTGCTTAGGTGAGGGACGAGGCCATGTAATACAACAGAAGAAAGGGCTAAGGATGCGGTTGGACCTGAGAATGAACGGAACCGGGGAGTCAACTGCTGGGATTCTCTGCCTCTCTTTCCGGGGACTGCCCTCCTATGGCAGGAAAACAATGCTAACACTTTGGCCACATCTTCTCCCATGGCCGCTACATGAGAGAGACTCGAGAGGGATTCACTCCAGGCTCAGATTCCCCAAATCCCAGCTAGGTCAGGGGCTCATACCTGCATTAGTGGGCGGGTCCATGTGGACAACATTGGCTGCCTTGAGAACCCCGTTGGAATGGAAGGTAACCGTTCCCAGAAGAATGAGGGTGATATGGGGCAGACAACACAACTTGTGTCTACTTCAAGGCTTCCTGGGGAGTTTTTTCTCCGACGTTGAACCAAAACATCTTGTAACATACATCTCCAGTTATTCTTGTGTTGCCTCATGAAACCAGTGGACATGAATCTTCCTGAGACAGTAGTGAAATTATTGCTGTGCGCCTGCTGTGTGCCAGCCTGGAAGACACAGCCGAGTTAGACTAAATCCCCTCAAAGAGCCCACAGTCTAGCAGGAGGATCCTGGGGAAACGAGTGAATATGGAAGTTAATTCTGCAGAGCTCGACAGGGCTCAGATGTGGGCTTGGTCTTCCTTCTCTCAGCTCCCACGCCTTGTAGGGGCTCCTGGACCTCAGTCTGCGCTGAAGATTCCATTCTTGAGGTTCTGCTCTGTCTGGGAGACAGCATCCTCACCCGTGGTCATAATAGCGGGCTGGACCCTCCCACAGGCTCCTGAGACCTGATTGTGTGCATCTATTCCCAAATCCACTTTTGGTAGCCTCACGTTGGTAGTTTGAAATTGGCCATAGTGGGTGTATTTACACCGCTGGAATTGGGAAATGCTACAAATCGGAGCTTCCTTTCCCTGGAGAACCCGTTGTTACCAGCACACCACTGCATAGTTAACCATCTTTAGGATAATGGTATCTAAATGTGTCCATTGTCTGTCCCTGGCTGTGTGTCTCACAAGCACTTTAAACTCAGCATGTCAAGGACTCTCCTACCATTTTCTCAAAACATAACCCTCCTGGCTGACCTCTCCTGGTTAATGGCATTGCCACTCATCCAATTCCTGAAGCCACAGACATCCAAAATGCATTTTAGATGCTCTCCTCTCCTTTGCCCTGTGTCTAATTAATCATTAAACACTATTCATTCCACTGTTGTGCTCTCATTAAAGCTTGTACCCTCTTCTCCATTCCCACTGCCACAGACAGAGCCCAGGCCCTCTTCATTCTTCCCTAAAATGACCTCAGGGGCACCGGGGTGGCTCAGTAGGTTGAGCGTCTGACTCTTGATTTTGGCTCAGGTCATGATCCTGGGGACGTGGGATCAAGCCCTGTGTTGATCTCCATGCTGAGCTTGGAGCCTGCTTAAGACCTCTCTCTCTCTCTCTCTCTCTCTCTCTCTCTCTCTCTTTCTCTCTCTCTCTCCCTCAAATAAAATTAAAAATAAAAATTAAAAAATTTAAAAAATGATTGCTGTTCCCCCCAACTGGTCACACTGTCATTAGTCTCTTGAAGTTTGTCTTTAGTTTGGTCTGATGCCCCTTCCACTGGTTGATAAATTCTCCGCCTTGAAGAAAGCAGAGTTCATTTCCCATCACAGACTTTGAACATGCTGATTCCTGGGTCCTCCAATTTCCTTGTAGCTGGAACCAGAGAGGTTACCTAATCTCCACCAGAGACACCCACCCTCCCATCCATTATGGCCGTGGGCAGCAGCACCGGCAGCACCCAGGGCCCAGTGCAGGTGGCAGAATGGGGTATGGCATCCAGTGTTGAACAGCCTCAAGAGCCAGCACCTTCCCAGACTGGTTCTGTGGCATAACGTTGGCTGGGATCCCAGCTGCTGCCTGTTTACTGAGCCCAACTCCCCATCATCCCTGGTGCTGCTGTGAACTCTCCAACATCCTTTCAGTGTCCGCTCTGCTAGAAAAATCAGTCAGCAATTTGATTCTCAACTCTCAATATTATCCCTTCTCGTCCCCACACCTTTTCCTTATCCACTCTTTTTCTAAAAAATAATTTTATTTATTTATTTTGAGAGAGACAGAGACAGTGCAAGTAGGGGAGGGCAGAGAGAGGGAGAGATTCCCAAGCAGGCTCTGTGCCGCCATCACAGTGCCCAACGCGGGGTTCGAACCCATGAAGATGTGAGATCATGACCTGAGCCGAAGTCTAGAGTTGGATGCTTAACCAACTGAGCCACCCAGATGCCCCTCCTTATTCACTCTTAAAAACATTCCTTAAAAAGCTCATCATTTCATTGTAATGTCGTCTGACATTTTCTACTCCTTTCCTCAGACAACAGATTAGTCTTCTGAGAGTCCTTTTGTCTATCTTTTTCATTCCTTGTTTTTGTTCCATGTTTTGATCAGCCTCTTTTCAAATCAGAACTCACTGGAGACTGGATTCCCTGGGTAATGACATTATTTTCCTTAGATGCCCCTTCTTCTCTGTTTGGACCAATTTTTGACCTACTGTTAGAACACATTTCTGGGCTGCTTGTAGGCCTGGTGTCCCTCCCCCTAAACTGGGCCTTCACCCCATGGTAGGCAGAGCCTCACGCAGCCTCTAACTGCACAGCGGTGTGTCCTGGTTCTGCACGTCTCCTTATGGCCTCACACAAGTCCTTTGAACCCATCCCAGGCTGTGTTATAGCTTCAGGTGGACTTGCTTGACTCTCTGTGCCTTTCAAGAATATCTCCCACCCAATCCAGTCAAGCTCCTAGTCCCTCACCTCAGAGCTGGCCCTGAGAGGCAGGTCCCCCTCCAGGCTCCTCTAAATAAAGATTGGGCCCTTGCCTCCCTTTAGGGCCCCCATCATGGAGGCTTCCTCTT